ACTTTTAGTAGAGGATAAACTTGAAGAAGTGATCAATAATTATTTAAAACAAAAGTAAGTTATTTGAATTAAAAGAAAAATAAAAAATATATAAAATATTGAGTGAAAATTTTATGAAATTTTATCATTTGATTAATATAATGGTTAAAAAAATGTTTTAATAAAAACAAGTCGAATATAACTAATTTGTCTATTTTGTATAAATGATTATTATTATTACTATTTAAATTATTATTATTATTTTAAATTATCATAATTATGATTATTATAATAATATTGTTATGGTTATAATTATTAATCATATTATTAGTATTATTATTAATAAAATGATCATTATTAACATATCTTTATGTGATTCAGATTGAGTCGATCATGTATAGATCTTTTTTTATCACTTTGTTATTGGTCAATTTTCCTAATACAACAGTCATAAAATGAAAATCATTAACCCTTATGAAATCAAAATTAACTATTATAACCATACTAAATATAGTTACAGATTACAGTCTTTCTTTCATAAATAAATCTTGTGAAATATCTAAATGCAGATAAATTTTATATGAAATAGTAAAAGCAATAAAATAAATAATGGGTACAATAATATATATATATATATATATATATATATATAAAGTATTTTTATTTTCGCTATTCAATCATTGAAATATTATGAATAATAAGTGTTACGTATAAATAAGTTAATTAAAATCCAAGACATAAACTGTAGTAGATGAGTTTATGGTAGAAATTATTGATAAATTTCAAATTATGAAAAAAAAACTCAATATAGTATTAGTTTAAATTGAGAAATAAAAAGAAAATGATAATAATAAACACAAATAAAATTCAATTAATATTCAATAAATCAATTTATTTAAATAAAATAATTGGTTCAAATAAAAAATACATAACAATTTTAAAATAAATAGAAATAGTAAAAAGATTAGTTATTTAGAATCACATAATTAAATAATAATATAATTTTCTTAAAAATATAAATTTTATCACTTGATTTTACTAAACATTTTAAAATCAATAATAAACTAGCTTATAAGATGGAAAGCTAGTGATAGTCTACTAATCAACTTATAAGTTAGGTTTTCGGTCAAACCCTTTTCTCTCTTATAACTATAATTAAAGTATTTGAAAATTTACTCATAATATAGGCAATTTAATTCTAAATTCTGTTAACTATTCTTAGACAAATAGTAATTCTATAACAACATAATGTTGTATTTCAAAAATAAATAGTAAGCTGCATCAACATATCATCACCTCCAAGAATGTAATAGAGGAAAAAGAAAAAAACTCCCCATGCTCAATTAATAAAAATTATCGTAAATGGTCTGTCTGACTAACAAAACCGAAATTCCAGCACAAATAACTTTGTAGCGCCTTCCTAAGCACAGCCATGATTTCCGCAGAGAAACACAGTCATACTTTTGCAGAAAGAGCGGCTCCACTTTCAGTAGAGAAGAGGCATCAAGAACATTTTAAAAGACAATCCAAAAGGACACATTAAAAAATGAAGATTGCAAATAAGCCAGAGTTGCAATGATTAATTCCCAGGATGCTGCTATTCCGAATATGCGTCTTGGTGAATATTACATATATACATGACACTTAATATGAGAGGTTTTCTGATCATTTTAGGGCTAAAAGAATGGTCATCAACAAGTTACAGAGGGGAAGGCGGATACACACTACTAAGTATGATCGTGACTTCTGATTGCTCTTTGGTTCATCCTATTCATGACTCGGGAAGCATCGTTAAGTCTATCTGCTCGCTCATAAATGCTAGCAACAACAAGATGCAACTCCTTCTTATTGACATTAGGATTTGAATCCAGCTCCTCAAACAATGACTCTACCATCATGAAATCCTTTCTTGCACCATATAGACTCAGCATCTGGAAATGAACTTCATCTGGAAAAACACACCCTTCCTGGTGCATCTGTCTATATAAAGCATCTGCTTTATCAAATTCACGCAGCTTTCCAAAAGCATTCAGCACGAGAGCAATAACATCAGAATCAGGAAAATATCCAACCTGTCTCATCTTCTCAAACACTTCAACGACATTGCTATACTTTTTGTTCTTAGAGAAAAGATTAATCATGCACCCAAACACAGATATATCTTTAACTTCTCCAGCATCAAAAGCCTGACGAAAAACCCAGGTAGCCTCTTCAACTCTACCAGCTCTGGCAAGAATTGCAATTGCAGTCTCCCTGGGAATGTTGTCCGGTCTCTTCAGCTCATGCAGCAGACGCTTGGCATGAGCAACTAAACCTGCCCTCTCGTAGGCTACAATCATTGTCTGGTAAAGAACCTCGTCAATTCGAACTCCTGAACTCCTTAATTTTTGAAACAAGATAGCTGCGCGGTCCAGTTTGCCGGCCTTTTCCCAAATGGATATTATGGTCGAGTAAGTGATGGCATTGGGTTCAATACCCCTTTTCTTCATTTCTTGAACGAGATTGGTAGCTTTCTCGTGCTCAAGGGTCTTACCATAGATATGAATCATAGTGTTGTAAGTGACAACATTCTGCGGTACATCTTTACTCTGCATCAAGCGAAACAGGTGGATGGCTTCCCCAAATAGCTCAGCCTCTCCATAAACCCTCAAGAGCGTATTGTAGCTAACCACATTGGGTTGAATCCCCATTTTCCTCATGCTCCAGAAGAGGCGATCCGCTTCCTTGGGCATGTGAAGCTGGCCATAAACATCAATCATGATGTTACAGGTGGTGAGATCAAGCGGGCATTTGGCTTCATTCATTTGAGAGAACAGAGAAAGCGCTTCAACAAACTTTTGATTGTCAACGTAGATGGCAAGAAGAGTGGAATAGCTGACGGTGTCGGGTTGAACAGCATTGTCGGCCATCTCTTGAAGAACAAGGCGAGCCTCGCGGAAGAGCTTGGCTTTTCCAAATACATTGATCATGGAGTTATAGGCAATGAGGTCGGGGGTAATGGTAGAGGCTTTCAATCTGGTGAAGATGGAAATGGCCTTGGAATAATCGCACAACTTGCGGGCAAGGTCGATCAAATTACTGTAGAGGACAAGGTCGCCGGAAACGTTGTCTTGCTCCATCTGCTGGAGCCAAAAGAGAGAAGAATCAAACAAGCCGTGTTTGGCGAAAGAAGTGATGAGGGTGGAGTAGGTGTACCTATCGGGGGAAAGGCCCTTGTGGCGCATTTCGTCGAACAGGCCGTGGGCGAGGTGCCACTGCTTGGCCCGAAGGACGTTGCGGAGGACGACGTTGTAGGCGAAGAGGGAAGGGGAATAGAGGGCTTTTTCGTTTATCCAATCGAGAAGGGCAAGAGTGCGTTGCCAATCGGGCTCGCGGGAGAGCAGGGAAACCATGAAGCGCATAGACAGCTGCCTCCCGCTGTAGGGGGACATCACCGCATACAGTTCATCCTCGTTCTGGGTCTCCCCAATTGCCGCTAATAACTCTTCCATGTCCACACTGCGGTCCAAGCACGTACCTTGTTGTTGCCTTCTGCGGCCACCTTCCCTGGGAATGGGAGAGGAACAAGCAGATCCACATGTTCGGCTCCACACATCTTTAGCCATAGCACAAGTGGCGGTGGCCGCACTTAAATGGCTTATGCCATTCCCAACCCTCTTTTTGGCTATGGTATTGGAATAACAACAAACAAGTGATATTGAAGAAGAAGATGAAGGATAGCACAGAAGCAGAAGGATAGAACCTGACACCGTGCACATCTTCAATCAGCTCTATGCTTACTAATCGTTGGTTTGGTCTTGTCATGTATGGAACATCTCTATCTGTCTCTGCTGCTTACCTATAAAGACCAATAGGCCTCACTGAAATTCCACCCCATACACCCTTTACATTTGATTTGTTGTCCGTGCACTAAAAAAAATTTCACAATAATTTTTTCCAAAAAAATAAAATGAATCAACCTCCATTCATAAGTTAAATTTATTTATTATTTATCTCAACTTATATAATTAAAAATCTACAGTATTTAAAATGATTTTATTTTACATTTATTTTATACCCTGCCAAGTCAACGACCATTGTTTTGGTTATGGACATGCCCTTCTTGAAACTAAAGACCCTCTTTCATTTTCAAGTTTTGTAGTTGTAGCAGCGATTACCATGTACACCATCACCATCTATCACCGTTTTCTGCGTCCATTAACGCACCTCCTTCGTCCTCTTCCAAACTAAACACCCACAACACTCGCTCTCTCTTCTTCTCAAACATCCTTCTAAATCCCAACTTTTGCAACAACTTCACTCTCACAATTGTCTTCTCTGTCGTCCTTCAAAATGGGCTATTGCAGATGTACTTAAGTTGGGGTCTTTTAGTTGAAGCCGCTCAGTTGTCCTACCAAATGTCGCAGAGGAGCTTAGTTTCTTGGAATGTTTTTATTAATTATTGCTAACTTGATTTTTCTGTGTTTAGTCAGATGCATGCTCCAGTTTAGTGTGATGGACTCGTGTTATTGATACCCACAGACAAAAAGTCAGGTGTCAAAAAAACTTTTCCATTAAGATAGAAAGTTGATGCGTTGACAGCCACTCAAATTTACATAAGCGCTCAAGTTACGCATTAAGGACGCTCACAAGTCAAGAGATATTATAGGTAAGATAATTTCCTTTAAACTTCCTGGCTACAATACAGTCTAAATGATATACAAGTGTTACACCTGAAATAGATGATTGTTGTTCTGCCTCTCATTCTTTGGAGTAGGTGGTCGTGGTAATTCTGAACACAAGCTAGCTAGTCAACTTACCACAATATATACCCATTGACAATTTGACATGTCATTGCCCTTTGCTTCAGACATTCTAAAGTAGCTCCAGGCATCAAAATTTTGGTAAAACGTGCTACAAATTACTTCATGCGTCCGCAAATCCTTTGTCTATACGTATTAGTTGAAAAGCTTAAAAAAATACTTATATTTTTTATTGATGTTGTGTTTGTAAGGATAAAGAAAAGTGGAAATGTTGCATCCATCGTGGAAGTTGACGGTTGCAAAGGACACGCATTCATATTGGTTTATAATTGATTTCAGTACTTTCTTTCCAATTGTCTGTACAAGGAAGCCAAGTATATGTCATTGGATACGTATTTGGCATACAAACAATTTCAGGCTACCAGTTTGCTAAATAAGCCTTGTCAAAGAAGGACGAAATTTCGTTTTGTAATTTGAAAGAGATCTAGTGTAAGCTTCAGGCAACGTAAAAAATTTCTTAGCTCGTCCCACATGAGCTCGTTTAGTCAAATTGTCGTAGTCGTTGTCTTCAATTGCATCTAGGATCTTACGATACAATATTAACGAGGACCAAACCTGCATACCACACACGGAGAATAATCAGCATATGATACAATATGTCTAAACTATTTTCAGGGACTTTACGTTCTTAATTCTCTTAACAATAACAGAGCAACTTCATGTTTGTATGCATGGCAATCCTAAGCTATCCTAGCTTTTCTATGCTATTTGCATGAATTTCATTTAGTGGAATATGGGATGACAAAATGCATTATTCTTTCAGCGTACCAATACAATAACATGCAGGTTCACCTACCGGCCAACGGCTGGCCTTTTCAAGCTGAGAAACTCCTTCTTCTGCCCGGTTGAAGTAGAATCTTGCCCTCGTAATTTGATGTTTCATAAACTTTCTCCATCTTTCACTCACATTTCTTGAAAACACATCCTTGTCACATAATCCAAACTGGGCTAGTTCGTCTTGGGGAAGATACACTCTACCTCTTAATGCACTGATTAAAACAGTAAGGTCATGAAATAATATATCAGTTTTATTTTTACATGTAATAATATAGTAATTACGAGAAACTTACTCCTCTCCCACGTCTCTAAGAATGTTGGTGAGTTGATTTCCTATACCCAGATATAGTGCAGCATCATATACACTTTGTACAGGGACAACCGACTCCTGTGCGATACCCATTATAGGAACAGTCATTAAGCCAACAGTTCCCGCCACATAGTAACAATAAAGATATAGCTCCTGGAAATTGTTGTAGCGAGCTTTCCTCGTATCCATTCTCATTCCTTGTATCATGTCTCTGAAAGGCTGTAATTAGTGCAGCAGAGGAGTAGAATTCATCAGATAGATCTCAGTCATGAATATGTAATTCATGATGATAACATAAGGAGTAATTAATGACCTTGATATCCAAGGGAAACTTGGAGAGGGTATCAGTAAGAGCAGCATCAAGCATATCATAGGGATGCCCGTTGAAAATGTCGTGCAATCTATCTTCCCATCTATCAAGAACAGCAGAGCTCATATACGCAGCGTTAGGACCATCAACCAGCTCATCCGTCCTCCTGCACCAAACTGCAGAGAGAGAAGAAGCTACCGTTTCACTAAAGGTTTCACCATGCAAAAACAACCTCCTTGTTTTCAATTTTCTCCTATCTTTTAGTATTGTTATGTAATTATTTTTTCTTACCATAAATTGCCCATATAGCTTTCTGTCTTTCTTCCGTCATAAGCAAGGTTCCTGTTTATAGTCAAGCCAGGTAAATCATACAAGAAACATGCTAATTGAAACAATCTGCAAGTAAGAAAGAATCTAGAATACCTAGATAGAAGGTCTTGGCGTATTCGGCGCAGATATTTCTGCACATTTCATAGGCGTCATTCAGAAAAGTTGAATGAAACTGTATATTAGGCTTGCTACAAGGACTAATAATTTGAGTCTGCCTGTGAACAACCTCTTGTACGTGTAAATCCGTTAGAGGAAATCCTTGCTTCGATAATTGCCTTCTCTGCTGGGGATTGGGAGCCACGGTTATTTCTGACCTTGTAACACTAAATCTTCTTCTGCTACGACATGCTTTCTTATTGCTCACACTCATGGAAAAAGGCTTTACTGTCACCGAAGAAAATGATAAACTCATCACCATTTTTCTATTCTCAAGCTAGCACCTTGTATTGTACTTTACTTGGGATCGTGCTGCTATATAAGTCAATGTGAAGGAGCCTATCATCAACTATATAATTATCTTTTCTTTCTATATAAGCTATGGTTGTAATTTTTATAATTACTGTGTAAACATCAACCATTTGAATGGCAATTTGGTGTAATATAGAATATTCTTATAAGATTGATGCTTCATATTGCATTTCAGTCTTGACATCTGGCTAACGAATGAAACAACGGAATTTGTATAATAAAGTTAGTGACCTAGTTTGTGCATTAAACAAAGTTGTAGAATATTTGTTTATTTATGCGTCACATAGTTTGGTTTGAGCAAGAACGGGACTTTCAAAGATGCTGGTTTTGTCTTTTAAAAGGCCACCTAAATTTTCTACTGCATTTGTGTCTTCTAGTTAAGTTGGTTGCAAAGAATCTTAGTCACCCGTGATGCCTTCCCCTCTTGCATTATCCCTTTCCAGGGCTTCGCATTTTGGTAATTTAATTTTTTTTCTGAAAAATATACTTTATAAAATTTAAAAATAAGAAAATTATTTTCTTATTATCTGAAATCAAATACCTTCTGAATTATGTAATTTAATTTTTTTTTCATAACTTTCTTCACCTTTTGGAAATCAATTTTCACTCCCAATTTACATTTGTATAATGAAAAATATATTTTCACACATTTATACGTTCATTTAATATATTATTTTTTATTCTCCTTTTATAAAAACTGTTTCACTAGTGTGTCATTTTATCAAAGCCTATTAAAAAGTGGGTTTTAAGTCTAACTCATCTCTACAAAACTTATATGTAAGATGGGTGGTCCCATAGTGGCCCGACAACGGGTGGAATAGAAATGCTCAAAAAACAAGAAATATCACCAGGATAGACTATAACCATGACTCTAATAACATGTTAGAAAGTGAGCTGAAAGCCTAACTCAACCCCACAAAGTCTACTTATAAGATGAGGTTTGCACCTCATTTATATATTATAGTTTAGTCTTATTTCTCTAGTCGATATGAGACTTCCAACCTAGCTTGTATAATTTAAAAATTATTTTTTACTAAAAAGAGGAAAAACATAGTTTCTTTTATAGGCATAAGATTTACAAAAAGTGCAGGAAGAAAATGCCTTCTAGAAGAACCTGCCTTTTTAATGGCCTATTCCACCGTTTCGTTATTATAATGTCATAATTGTATGAAATTAATCTGTACAAAAATTTATAACGTGAGAAAAAGATAGAAACATTACACATATTTAAGATTATAATGGATGGAAAAAATAATGTATATGTAGTTGTATGAATAATATAAATCTATATTTACAATTTTTTAAGTTAAATTTATATAACTTTTTAGTACAAAAATATATTTTTATGACGATTTTTATATTGATTATAATATATTATAAAACTTTCTTTATTGATTGGACTCACAATTTGTATAGAAAATAATACATTAATCTATTAAAACTATGGGTGTTGCTCCCTCCACCACCACACATTTCTCCCTCCACCTTCCATTTACTATTTTGCCCTTAAGTAAAATTTTATTTTTAGGGTTATTATTTTTTAATTTTACCCATTCACAACCTATTCCACTAATAACTTATCTACATGAGTAAAATACTTTTCTTTCATTTTAACATTATATTTCTTCCTTTCTTTCTTTCGTCGCTGTGAGATACTACAAGTTGCAAAGGTTGGTGGTGGTGGAAAAAATTATCAAGCAGTCTCCCTTTCGTGGTGCAGTGCGTGTGTTGCTTCCTCCAGGTGCGTATTCGAATAAACCTTCAAATAAAATCCTAAAATAAAAAATGTAACCTTGAGGTGACATCCTTCAACGGATGTCAACATCTTTCAACGGATGTCAACATCCGTCAACGGATGTCAACATCCGTTTAAGAAAAAATGGATGTCGACATCCGTTGAAGGATGTCGACATCCGTTGAAGGATGTCTGTGTACAAGAAGTTTAACGTATGAAATTGTTTTTTTTGACATGCAATATATTTAATTACCAATAGTAATACAATAAAAGAAACATAATTGAGATAGTGTGTAACTATGAAAAACAAGCACACGTTTTAAAGATTGGGTTGCTTCTGCTTTATTGCTTGAACGCTAGTATGTGATCAGAATTAAAATTTTTAGTTGCTTGTTCAATGTGAAAGTAATTATATTGGTGAGAAGAAATTTAAGCATTAATGAGCAATCTGTTTTTATGATTTTTATTGTAGAATACATTCTGGGCCGATGGCCCATAAAAACAAAAAGAGTGTAAAAAGGAATTGAAATGATCAACTGAAGTGAAAAATCTGGATTGGCATGATGGCAAGATGGAATTGTCAGTGTGTTGTTTGTCAGGATAGTTCTTCTTTGGGTTGAAAATTTTTTAGTCCCTAAACTTCTGGCCGGTGTTTCTGGTGTTTCGTGCCCGCTTTGCCCAAACTAAGGTACATTTGGTGCCTCATGCTTAGAAAAAAAAACGTTCTGTTAGCCGCCAAATTTTGGTTTTTGAGTCCTCGTTTTAGTCGCCTCAAAACGTTCGTTTTGTCGATGAAAACAACGTTTTTTGAAGATGTGAGGACCCAAATTGGTGACGTTTGGGAAGAGGGAAAACCAAAACGGCACGATTTTAGGGACTAAAACATATTTAACCCTGTCTTCTTGGGGACACTTTAAATGATAATTTATTTTTACTTTGGTCTCTCATATACCTATGTTTTAAAAAACTTTAAAACTAAAAGATACTTTATCAAAATCTAATAAAAAAATGAGGACATAAATACTAAAAAAAAAATATGAGAATCAAACCACAATTAAAAATAGGTTATGAAAAAAAAAATACATAGTTCATTAGTTTTTCTTCTATATTCATAAAAAAATCAATATACAAAATATTTATGAGATAAAAAATATTATTAGCTATTAAACTAATGTTTCACTATCAAGTAATAAGAGATAATTACTTATTTCCCTTTTAAGAATGGAAGAAAACATATAAGAAATGAAAGGAAAAAATAATGAATTTGTGTTTAACTTTATTTTTCATAAACAAAAGAAAACAAAATAGAATGGGAGACAAGTGCAATGTGTGAGAAACTTAAAAGATAATGGAAAACAATAAAAATATCTTATTAATTTTTTATACTTTATTATGTTTGATTTTATATTTTATTATTTATTAACATTAAATGTTATGTTTTATAAAATAAATAACAAGATAAATAATTTAATTTCCATTAATTCCTAATATATACTCTTATAATTTAAAACATTTGAAAAGATCAAAATTTCATATACTACATATAATTTAAAAATTTTCAAAAAATAAAATTTTCATATACTAAAAAATTCAAAAAATTTGGGGAGCCATGGCCATCCCTAGTCCCTTCAATGATTTGCTATTGACTGTGTTTTTATCTGTTTCAATCCAAGTTATTTCTACTTCTTTTCTCGTTTATTTTTTATCTTGTACTATTATTTTTTGTTATTATAATTTTTGGGTTTGATTAATATTTTGATATCTATAACTGACTTATTATTCTTATTTTTATTATTATTTATTATTATTATTATTATATATTATTATTATTTTATTTATTTTTATTTTTCTTTTGTCTCTCCTATGTGAAATGAGATATTTTGATTGAAGTGTGACATTTGAAAGATACATATCTATTCTTTTTAAGTTTATTTATATAATTTAGTTTTAATATAATTTTTATCATCAAATACTTATAAAGGTCATTTTAATGCATATGAATATTTTATCTTGAGTTTTTTTCTTTTGGAATTTTATTCAGAAAAATCATGTATGTGCATTTTATTCTTTAGTTTTCACATTTTATTATTTGTTTAAAATAAACGGTTTTAAGGACAGAAAGCATTTACATATAAGTAATTGTTTAACTTTACAGGCCATGACAAGTAATTGTGCAAAATATTTATCTAATAAATTGCTAAATAAAGACATCAGTGCATGAAAGTCGTTCTACTGTGGTTAAAAAAAGATTTTCTATTCATCAGTCAACAGTGGAAAAGGTTTTTACTTTTCACTTTTTATACGAATACTAGTTAAAATCACAACTAATATAAAAAATCTTACGATAAGAAAATATGTCATCTATAAACAAAATAGAAAAATCTATTTACCAGTGACACTTACTGAATGGTCTTTTCCTAATCATTCTACATACAATAGTTTCAGGGTGTTAGCTCCTTCTATCATGGTAACTTTCACCCTCCATCTCCCCAATTTTTTTTAATTCTAATTATATTCTTAGATTAAAATTTTTTATTTTTACTATTTTAATTTATTTCAAACCTAGTTCTCCTATTTTATTCTTTGCATCCAACTTTTTTACATCTTATTTTCGTTTAACAATTTGTCTTCCGTTTTACTGTGCAACCCCATTTATCTTCTCCGTTTCACTTCTCCTCCTCCGTTTCTCCTTCTTCCTTCCTCGTTCTGTTATTTTCTCTTCATTCTACTTATTAAATACATAAAAATATATTCAAATATAATCATCCAAAACATTTAAATAAATTATTAAAATAGCTTTCCAAAATAAGAGATAAACTATAAACAAACCCTAAAAACAGAGGTGA